GTCCCTGATTCTTGAGCGTTGACGAAGATCAGAACTCCGGATTCTATCTCTCATTTGAGTGAATCGTGATATTCCAAGCATAGTTCTTTCGATTCCTCTTTGAGAGACCCGAATAGTGTTCTCATCCTGTTTTCGTAGGGTCCAGGTCTCCGAGGCATATGTTAATGCAGGAAGAATAGTGGAATCAAAGAGATGTGCTCGTAGCTGGAGGTTCTTTGTCCTTTTAGTTATTTCTTCAATGCTCTTGAAGGCATTGCAAGCCGCTCTCTTCCTCCTGCCCTATATATCTTGCGTATTAACCCCTTGTCTGATGGGTAGCACTGCACTGTAGCACCGTCCTCCCGTTGTTCATCAATTTGCTCGAGCAGGCACCAGTAATGTCTCACAACAAATTGTGACACTTGTTGTTACTGTTTTTGGCAAATCGAATATGTCATGGGGCACTTGCCAGGCTTTGCTGTACAGGCGAGATACTCTTGGTAGCTGGCCGGGCTACTTAGGTGGTTCTTTTTTTTTTTTTTTTGCTTTTTGGGTCACATCCGGTGATGCTCAGGGGTTACTCCTGGCTCTGCACTCAAGAATTACTCCTTGCAGTGCTCAGGGGACCATATGGTATTCTAGGGGTCAAACCCAGGTAGGCCATGAGCAAGGCAAACACCCTACCTGCTGTACTATTACTCCGGCCCCGGTGGGGGGACCATATGGGATGCTGGTGTGTATCAAGTAAATAATCTTTTCTGTTCCATGGACTGTCTTTGTATCTTGGGCATCACTTCTTTTGAGGTGCGGAAGCTTCTGAAGGTGGAGTCAGCAGGATTTGCTGCTGATGAATGTGGGATCATAAAGGTCAAAGATGATTTCTGGGATTTATCTGGCCTATGAAACAGAAAGAATGATGTGAAATGCCGTATACTGCAGTGAATAAATACCAATGCAGGAGCACCAAATCCAGAGTTCACTTTTAGTCAGGGCTGCTGGGTAAAAGAAACCTTTATTTCCCCATTCTAATAAAAGGTCTAGAATGGAGAGATAACACTGGGGACTTGTTTCCCCCATAAGTGGTATTTAAGTCCTGTGTCTGGATACAAGTACTTGTGGAGTGTTGATGGAGGCCTAAGGTTAAGTTCTGGTGTCCGCCCGTGCTCAGAGGTGGGGGGCTGGTGAAGCAGAGAGAGGGAGATTCTGGAAACCAAGTAAAGAATGTTCCAGAGTGGACCGAAGAGATAGTACAGCTTAGATAGTACAACTTAGAGCTTAGTTTACAGCGTAGTGCTTGCCTTGCACGTGGCCAATTCAGGTTTGATCCCTGGCACTCCCGATGGCCCCCAAGCCTGCCAGGAGTGAGCTCTGAACACGGCTGAGTGTAGCTCAACATCCCCCCCCCCCCCGAAAAAAACAGAATGAAGAATGTTCCAGAAAAGGAGCAGTGAAGTATGTTAAGACAGAACGTGACATGGACCAGGAATGACCACTGAGCTTGACACTGAGAGGTCACTGGTGACCTTGATCCATTATTTTACTGGAGTGGGGGAGGAAAGGCTTATCGGAGAGTGTTCAAGAGAATAGAATAATGAAGAGGGAGTGGAGGCTACTTTTTCACTGTAGCGCTGTAGCACTGTCCTCCCATTGTTCATCGATTTTGCTCGAACGGGCCCAGTAACTTCTCCATTGTGAGACTTGTTGTTACTATGTTTGGCATATCGAATACGTCACAGGTAGCTTGCCAGGCTTTGCCGAGCAGGGGAGATACTCTCGGTAGCTTGCCGGGCTCTCCAAGAGGGGCGGAGGAATTGAACCCGGGTCGGCCGTGTTGGCGCCTTGCAAGGCAGATGCCCTACCCGCTGTGCTATCGCTCCAGCAGAACAAAAACGCCATAGGAGCTGAAGAGGGATGTGAAGTTAGGCGAGCCCTCAAATGATGTTTCCATGTTGGGGGGATTGAGGCAGGAGGAGAGAGGAGGTTGGTTCTGTTTGAGAGAAGGTGGGAAGAAAAGGACTGCCCCGGGCATCCGGATGCTTCGGTTCCGATTCCATCTCCACTGTCCATGGCCCTCAGGGAAGACTGTGCTGTTCTTCTGACATCCTGAAACTCCCACTGGCCTCGCAGGAGTGTCATCAGCCCCGCTTTCCCTTCTACTCGTTACCTGTTGCCCTGACTTCTCGTCTTTTTCCAGAACGTGGTCCCTTGTGTCAGGGTCCAAAGAGTCACCCTGGGCCGGGCATGGCAGTTGTCTCGTCTGGACACTTAGCCTCACACCGACACCAGGCCTTTGGATCCGCCCTTGCTCAATCAAGAGGGTGGGGACTTTTTGTTTCTTTCTTTTTTACTTTTTTATTGAATCACTGTGTGATAGACCCTTACAAAGCTGTTCGTGATTGGATTTCAGTCCTCCAGTGTTCCAACACCCATCCCTCCACCAGTGGATATTTCCTAGGCCCAGTGTCCCCAGGTTCCCTCCCATCACCCCCATCCCCACCCCCACCCCCTGCCTGTCTCTATGGCAGGTGCTTTTCTTCTCTCTCTCTCTCTCTCTCTCTCTCTCTTGCTCTCTGTCTCTGTCTCTGTCTCTCCCCTCCCCCCATTTTGCCCCTTTTGGACATTGTGGTTTGCAATACTGATACAGAAAGGTTAGCAAAAATATCTCCCCCCCCCCCCCCCCGTTTTCTTTTTTTTCTTTTTTTTTTCTTTTTTGGTCACTCCTGGTGATGCTCAGGGCTTACTCCTGGCTCTGCGCTCAGGAATCACTGCTGGCGGTGCTCAGGGGACCATATGGGCTGCAGAGAATCGAACCTGGGTCGAACACAATGCAAACGCCCTACCCGCTGTGCTATTACTCCGGCCCGAATAGCCTTTTAGAGGGTGGGCGTTTCCCTTCACAGCCTTTCCTTCCTGCTGACCATGCCGGCTGTTTGTCCGTCCTCAGATGGCTCCTCCTGGCTCTCTGGTGCTGGGGTGTGAGGGCCTGGGGTCCGGGCTGCGGCCCAGCATTCAGGATTCCTCGTGCTTCTCACCACGGCCTCACATGCATGCCGGGAGGGGCTTCCCAGCCCAGCTGTTTCAGTCCTGCGGTTAGGCTGGTGGGACGTGGAAATGCTCTGTCCTTGGCCAGAGTCGAAGCAAGCTGAAAGCGGGTGTCAGGCTGTAAAGCAAACAGTAAACAGCCCTGCAGATGGGGGCTCTCAGCTTTACCCTTCGAGCTTCAGGTTTATAGTTCTGTTTTCATTTCCAAGGTTTTAGGTCAGAGTTTTTCAGTTCAGACCGGGACCTCGAAGCCAGTTCTGCTCGGGTGTTGGTCGAAATCTTGGGTATTTTCCGACCGCTGTGGATTCCCCTGCCAGAGGTGTGCAGGCTGGCTTGGCTGCGTTCATCCCTCGAGCTGTTCAAGTATTTGTCAATGCTTACTTTGTTTAAAGAGTTTTCGGGGAGAGGGGTTTGAGGCATTTGCTTTTTAAGGGCTGGGAGTGGGCATGCTAGGAACTTTCTTTTTGCAGTAGAAAGGATTAGGATCTGTCTTTACAATAGTTCTGGATCATCTTCAGAGTTCTTAGTCCAAGCTTAGTGAAGCCCAGTAGATGAGAATCCTAAAGTGGGGGCTGGAGAGATAGCACAGCGGGGAGGGCGTTTGCCTTGCACTCGGCCAATCCGGGTTCGATTCCCAGCATCCCATATGGTCCCCTGAGCACTGCCAGGAGTGATTCCTGAGTGCAGAGCCAGGAGGAACCCCTGTGCATCACTGGGTGTGACCCAAAAAGCAAAAACAGCAGCAACAACAAAAAAACTCCTAGATGCGGGCTTGCGGAGAGCTGAGGCTAAGCTCCTGCCACCTCAGTTCCCATGGCTGCAGCCTTTGCAGGGCTTGCTTGGGGGCCCACCGTACCGCAACAGTCCAACTGGAAAACTCACTTAGAATGCAGAAAGTTTTCTTTTGGGGAGTGGGGGCACACCTGGGCAGGCGCAGAGGTGCCTCCTGTCATTGGCTTGGGGGTGTCTGGGCAGTTCTGGGTGTAGAACCTAAGGTTCCTGCACGCAAATCATGCTCTCCAGAACTTTGAGCCAGCCCCATTTGGGTTTAATTTTGTTGGTTGTGGGGGCCACACCCAGCAGTGCTCAGGGGCTGTTTCCTGGCTCTGTGCTGGTGTGACTTCTGCATGGGGTGGGGGGAGTCACACATGTGGTGCCATGGGAGGGGGGCTGAACTGGACTCAGCAGCATGCAAGGCGCCTTCTGGCTCCTTTCCCCAATTAGAAAAAAAAAGGGGATCCTCTGGTCTTTCCATTATAGAAAATGAGAGGGAGACTTTTGAATTAGGATTCTTTATCTCTCTCTTTATTTCGCTCTCTCTCTCTCTCTCTCAAAAATAAGTTATTTGTAGCTTGTTAAAATGATTTGAATCCTCAAACCTTTGTCCATCTTTCCTATAGAGAGAATATTGGTTGATGGTAATGATCTTTACAGCTTGGCAGGAAATTGGAATTTATCTGGGGATAGCCACCAACGTGCTACTTTACATGGGTAGAAACTTGACTTTTGAATGTACTTCCAGACATGCTATAAAGGATTTTAATCAGTGTCGTTAGCCTGTGTGTAATAAATATTAACAAAGTGGTCTGAATGCTTCAGTAAAATCAGATGACTCTGGGGGGCTGCGGGTGGGGGGGCAGAATCTGCCTCTATTGTTTGGATTTTTAAAAGTCATACTCATGTATTCTTTTTATAATTTTGGAAAACAAAAAGGTAATACTACTGCATTGTCATTTCATTGCACATTTAAAATGCAGATTTCAGAATTCTAATTGTGCCTTTTAGTAACTAATAATTTAATGGTTCTTTTTGATCCTCCCCTGCCTACTTCTCCAAACTTATTCCCTTGATTTCTGTTAGGAAGCCCAGAGAGAAGATGCCTGCATTTTGAACAGTTTGAACTTGTGGCCTTGGCTATAATTGTCAGTTCACAGTCTATTTTTGATTTTAATCTTATTATTATACCTTTCTTTCCACAGACTGGTGAATTTTCAGCTCGCTTCCTTTTGAAGTTGCCTGTGGATTTCAGCAACATTCCCACATACCTTCTCAAGGTAAAAATAATACACACACATACACACATATACATATATATATACATATATCAGTATGAGCACACAAAATAAGCTTTTAAAGTAATTATTTAGTGGAATATTTGTATGACTGCTTTGCTAAAATTTGTTCAAATGTGGAATTCTACTAAAATTGGTTATTGCTTGGAGACCCATTTGTTACCTAAATGCTAAAAAATAGCTCTGAAAGTATATTCAAAATTATATTTCATGACAAGATAAAACTAGTATAAGAAAATTGAATGTTGGGAAATAAATCACCTTTAGTTTAACTGGGACAAAAGAATTTTATAGAAGTATGATACATATGCAGTTTTTAGATCACAATCACAATCATCCTGTTGTTTGTCGATTTCCTCGAGCAGGCACCAGTAACGTCTCCTTCTTCCTAGCCCTGAGATTTTAAAAGAGCCATTTCAATGCTCTTTCAGGATTAGGAGAATGGGACCCAACCTTGTTACTGGTATTTGGCATATTGAGTACGACACAGGAAGTTTGCCAGACTCTGCCGCGCGGGCAGGATACTTCTGGTAGCCTGCCAGGTTCTCCAAAGGAAAAATAAGATAATAAGATGTCGTGCGGCTGCAAATGTGGCCGCGTGCTTCCGGGAGCTGGGTTTTATAGTCTCTGTGTCTTGGCCGTTGATGGGACAAACCTGGCGCTGGTGGCAGCTGGTGGGTGTGATGCCTACCTACTGGAAGATGGGGGGTCTGGGTGGAGAAGGTCCAGTCCCAGTCCGAGTAGGCTTGGAGACCTCAGCCCCGGGACCTGCATGCCTGGGTTCCTCTGCCAGTTCTTCCATGGATGAGGTCCGTCCTTCCGGACGTGTAGAGAGTGGTTCCAGCATGGTCCCAGCAGAGTCTCCTGCCCCCGCGCCTGGTTGTCCTCACCGGAGCCCCTTGGAGGGGGGAGAGTTGAGTTTCTCTCCCCCCCACCCACCTGCCCCGAGCAGAGGAGTCTTTAGATGGGGCGGCATTTTAACTGACACGCTAAAGAATGTTTCATGTTCTTTCTTTCAATTAGAATTGATCTCAGGCCTCCTTCAAAGTTGGGCTGGGTGTCTGGGAGACACCCTGAATCCAGTTAGATCTGGATTATGTATGCATATGTGGCTGTCTTAAAAATGCGTTACTGTGAAGGGATATGCAGAGAAGAGGGAGAGTCCATCCAAGTGACTGGGCTATGGTCATTGTGAAGCCAGCCAGGGAGCAAGTTCCAAGCAGAAAGTCTTAAGACAAAGGCCAGGGTTCATCATGGATGAGGATGTGGCTGGGATTGAAGATTCGCTTGTCTGCCCTCCTCGGTGCTTTCCAGCATGGTAGATAGCATTAGTTTAATGTAAGGAAACTTTCTGCTTTTGTTGTTCAGAGAGTTGATGATGCTTAATGATAGTTTAAGAGAGAAGACTGTTCCCTTTCTAGAACGTGTAGTTTTTCTGCGTGTTATGTTAGCCAAGGAATAGGATAGTTACTGCTTTCACCCGCACGGCAAAACCTGGCAAGCTACCCGTGATGTATTCAATATGCCAAACACAGTAGCAACAAGTCTCAAAATGAAGATGTTACTGGGCCCGCTCGAGCAAATTGATGAACAACGGGAGGACAGTGTTACAGTGCTTTTGATAGTGATTGGAAAAATGCCCTGGTAGAAGAGAACAGATTAGGGACCACTCTTTTCACATTCTGTCCAATGGGGGGGGGTAATTATTTTCTTTTCCCTTAACTAAAGCCTTTTTCTTTTCTTGTGTTTTCTTTCTTTTTTTTTCTTTTGGCTGCATTGAACTGTGATTTTTAGTTCCCAGCTGACTAGTTTTTTTTTTTAAAGTTTGAAATGATTTTTATTGAATCACCATGAGATACACTGTTCCAGAGTTGTTCGTGACTGGGTTTCAGTCATAGTTAATGACCCAGCGCCCATCCGTTCACCAGTGCACATTTCCCACCACCAGTATCCCCAGTTCCCTCCTGCCCTGCCCTCCTACCCCCTGCCGACCTCTGTGGCAGGCACTTCTCTCTCTCTCTCTCTCTCTCTCTCTCTCTCTCTCGCTCTCTCGCTCTCTCGCTCTCTCGCTCTCTCTGTGTCTGTGTCTCTCTGTCTCTGCTTCTCTCTCTCTGTCTTTCTCTGTCTCTGTCTCTCTGTTTTTCTCTCTCTCTTCTCTTTCTCTCATTTCCTCTGGGCAGTATGGTTTGCAGTGCAGATACTGACAGGTTATCATGTATATCCCTTCACCTACTTTCAGCACTCAGTTCTTGTCCAGAGTGATTGTTCCCAAGTATCATTGTCACAGTGGGCCCTTCTCTATCCTAACTGCCTTCCCCCCACCCCCAGTTTCCTTCCACTTGTGGCAAGCTTCTGACCATGGACTTCTTTTGCCCCTGTTTCTCCTGTCCTTGGATATTAGTCTCATCTTACACTTTTAAAATATCCCACAGATGAGTGTAATCATTCTGTCTCTCTCTCTCTCTTTGACTCATTTCAGGATGATATTCTCCATGTCCATTGATCTATAAGCAAATTTCATGATTTCTTTTTTTTCTGGTGGCTGCGTAGTATTCCATTGTGTAGATGTCCCATAGTTCCTTTATCCAGTTTGTACTCAGACAACTCAGACATCAACTCAGGGTATTTCCAGATTCTGGCTGCAGCAATTGTAGAAGTGCATAGTTTTCCACTTTGAATTCAGAACTGTGCAGCTCAGGTGAAATGGAAGTCAACAATTAATGTCAATACTCTGCATTCCTGTTGGGGAAAATATACATATTGAGTCTTGATTAATAAGCATAATTAACTGGCTTTTAGCTTTTGCTGTACTCCATTAGAATAACAAGTCATCTCCTTGGAAACACCTAGAGCTCCCTCACTGACCTCTGTATTTTCTTATTAAAATTCTATTTCAGGTCGCTTAAAACCAGACTCTGAAGCATATGAGAGCCCTTAAGGAGCTGGGTACTCCGTAGTTCCCAGCACTGTTGAGAACAACCCCTTAATACTGAGCCAGCTGCCCCACCCGTTCCCATCATCCCTGTGTGTATGAGAGTACTTTAGCTTTATAATCACCTTCCCTCGTAATTTTCAGTTCCTTCGCTTTGTTTTGGTTGGTTGGACCCTCTCAGGTTGGATGGTTGTTCTATGATTTTGAGTTTGGTACAGCTTTTGTTGTTTCTCCAAAGACATTCACCCTGATTGTTTTCTCGTCAAAATCAAATTTTAATGTTTTTTTTTTCAATCTCAGGAATTCTAACTTTATATTATTAATGCTCCTGCTTTCCTTGCCAGTCAGATTGGAGAAAGATGGAATCTATTTGGCCAAACTGGAAAGCTTCCCCATTCCCCAAAGTACTATGAAGTGAATTTTCTCTGTTAGATGAAATGGCTGCATTGCAGCATTAATATGTTTCTGGATCTGTAGTTCCTGCAAAGAGAGTTTTTTTTTTTTTAAAAAAAAAGAGGAATGAAAAAATTAAAAGAGAAACTTGCATAACATGGTTTCAGAAAACAAAAACAATCCTGAACAGAAAATTCTGAAACAAAAGCCAAAGTCCAGGCCAGAAAGAAAAGACCTACCTGCATAGCAGAAGTGATCACGAATACTTACCTGTGGCCCAGAGTAACGAATGAGCTAAGTTCTCCAAGTCGTTGAATCGTGACTTGCAGCATTTGACTTTGCCCTTAAAATGAAGCTTGCATTAGGGCTTGTTTTTTATGTGCTATTTACATTCGAATGCTTCCAATCTTTTTTATGAACCGATCTAAAATAAGTTCTAAAACAAACCCCCCAGGTTCCCAGGGCGTTCTCACCCCCTTTGCAGTATGGAGCGAGCCCACAGCTTGGCTCCATACGCCCCTGGTTCACGCTAATGAAATTTCATTCCATCCCGATGATGCCACCATCCACTCGCAGTGTATCAAACCAAGTGCCCCTATTTACATACCGCTAGATCTCTTCGCCATTAGGGGCCCAAAAGCCCCGAAGAATCAGTGATGGGTGATTTTGCTTCATTCTTATCCCCTCTTCCGACAGGGACAGAGGCAGCGTATCCTGAGAATGAACCTGACCTTGGAGTCTGAATTTTGTTTTCAGTTGGTGTGAACCAGTAGATTCAGGAAGTCTTTTCCAGAGAAACCCAGTAGCTCGAGAAAGACTTCTGCATTTAAGATTCTGGATTCGTGGGTGGTAGAAGCCTTACACAAACAGATGGGAAGCACCATGCGTATTGTCTGCTTTTGCAGGGCCCTGGGCCCTGCCCAGGGAGCGTTCGGAGGCAGACGCTCTGTTCCCGGGTCGCTTCCCAGCCGCACCCCTGAGCAGCTCGGCCAGTGGGTGCTGGGGTGAAGTCCGGATCCTCAGCATAGCACGAGAAGTTCCCGAATTAGAAGCACCACAAGTTTCACTGCGGTAACTAAACCAAAGAAAGACCTCCTGAGACTTCTATATTTTCTCATCAGGGAGTGCTAGTCATGAGAATATCCTTTTCTTAATGTCTTTAGGCTCTAACGGACGTGCACTGAAGTTTATTTCTGCCCTTATTCATTTTCTAGACGAATTGAAGCTCAGAATGTTTTGCTAAGAAGCTCCCACCCTCCTCCCCACTGAAAACCACACTCAAGAGTGAAATAATTAAGGAGCGATTCTAGTTGTTTACTAAAAAGGTTTTATCATCTGGACAAGAAGTACTCAAGTCTGATGGGGAGGGGAGGAGCTGACTTGTAAACATGATGTGCTCTGCAGTGAACATTTTAAACCCATGCACCGGCTTTCTTTAGAATCGACTCTAGTTAAGCCCTATAGTTCGGCGTCCGTTTAGAGGCAACGTGCAGCCGTATCTAGGGAAATTGCTGAATTTACAGAACTAGGCTACGTTTCCTGCTGATGGTAGATATTACCTTTTATATGTTTCTAAACATGGAACCTTTAAGGGCATCAGTAGGAACTTTCCTTTGTTTGACAAGGCTGTCATTGTTTAAGATCTTAATGACCTCAT